GTCTGTTCCTTAAACCATTTAGAATTGTGTGGAATATGATCTGCAAAATTTAATTTTGTAAGTTGGCAACTCAGACTTTTCTCTCAGACTTCGAAATGTGAAGTTGCTGTTTGTCGCCTTACACTTCACTATTCAAACTCGACCCGGAAGTGAAGGTTATAAAGGTTCCAATTTGCTCTCGATCCCGAACTTTCCCCAGCACAGTCTCTATTAGTTACCCCGCATAATACTGTAAAGAAGGCGATCCAGTCACACTGAAAACAGTGCAGGTTGAGGTGGTGAAAAGATGTGCTTCTGAGCAGTATGGATATAATTTCTGGAACAGCACTTTACCATATTAAACTATTACCTGTTGTTGAGTGAACTCTCTGATTTCCAAACACCAATCTGTTCAAAGCAATACCTTCTCATACAGCCCATATAAAGCGTTACCATTTTCCCTCCCCTTCCTCAGGCAGATATTACAACTGCATACATGTTCATATATATATATCTTGCTGTCTCTACTCACTGGTACATTGCATCTGTAATTGTACAAAGTTTCAGAGCAGATTTAGCAACATGAAGCTGTATGTGTTTCTTTGATTTTAAGTTTGCCCTTTTCTTTCCTGCTTACCTAAAGCTTGTTTGAATTATTTTGAAATGTTGTTATTTATCTGATTATTTGTTTCTCAGATATTGTCAAACAGGATGACCTGATTAGCATGGAAAAGTAAATTTTGACATGGCTTTGTCCTCATCTGGGTGAGTATAATATGACATGTCACACATTAATATACAGTTATACCTGCTAACTCTCATGCAATATGCATGTGTCTCACACCTGTGGACTAAAGACATTGATCTCTACAGTGGCCCAAAAGTGTCACGGCAATTTCAATTTACTCATGGCAATTTCAATTTGTTGACAGTAATTTCATTTTACTCACAGCAATTTCAATTTACTCACGGCAATTTTTCGCTTCGCTCACTACCTGTCAACTACAGCAGCTGACAGTGGCCACCAAAAGTCAAAACGCAAAATTTAAAGTTGATATTTAAAGTCAATCTTCAAAGTGAAAAGTGAAAATCAAAAATCAATTGTTGATTTACGAACTAGGGAGTATTTACATGAGACTGGGACAAACTCAGAGCGGTTTGAGTTTGTATCAGTCTCCATGCATTTCTTTTTATGCATTTACATGGGGCTGGCCTAAAAATGAACTCAGACTGGTCTGACTTCATCTCTGTCACTGACCGGACATGAGTTATTTTCGTACTGGTCCGAGACTGTACCGTTCTCATGTAAAACAGAAACGAAGCTCAGACCGGGTCCATAAATAACATGTTTCTTCATATATGGCTCCATCATTTTTGCGTTTTTTAAGCAAAATATAAAGAACACTACTATGAATAACTGTAAACAAGACTTGGAAGTAGCTTCGATCAATTGAATATATGCTTTGGTTAATGTGAGGGATTGTGCCATTTTTAGAAGCTGACTGTTTATTTAACATGCCACCAGATGAGCGTTAGATAAAGTTTACAATTTTCTGGGAGCAGTAATATGTACGGTTAGCGTAAATTGTGCACCATTTTAAGGACAGTTAGTGAATAATATGTTAAATAATCGACTTAAGAAAGTTATATAGCTACAAGAATCTCCTGTTTTTGAGTTTGTACCGGTCTCATTAATTTAATCAACGAAGCGTTTCGTCCCGGTCTCATGTAAACGACTGCAAAAATTACAAATTCGTACCGGCCTGAGTTCGTCCCAGTCTCATGTAATTACTCGGCCCCTTACTTTCATGCTGGTCTGAGACCGTACCGTTCTCATGTAAAACAAAAAATGAACCTCAGACTGGGTCCATAAATAGCGGGCGCGATCCATTCAACCAAAATTCCAACCGGTTCGACCGGGAAAAGTGATCCACCTCATTAAAGGTGGACCTGTTGTTTTGAAACTTTTCCGGTTGGACCGAACTGATCCAATAAGTTTTGGACCGAAATTTCCGGAAATTTTGGTTAAATGGATCGCACCCAGCATGTTCCTTCGCATGGCTCCACCATTTTTGCTCTTTCTTGGCAAAAATAGGAAGACTGCTGTCAATAACATCAGTAAACAAGACTTAAGCTTCAATGCTTAGATTAATGTGAGGGATTGCACCATTTTGATATGCTGTGCAGTAAATAAAAGTTGTTAGATCATTAAAGCTTATAATTTTCTGGGAGCAGTAAAGAAGATCGACTTTAAATATCGACTTTCGATTTTGTGTTTTGATGTTTGGTAGCTACTGTCGGCCGCGCGCCGTAGTTGATAGATAGTGAGCGAAGCAAAATATGCCGTGAGCATTGCCGTGAAAAAATTGAAATTGCGGTGAGCAAATTGAAGTTGCTGTTGAAATTGCTGTGAGCAAATTGAAATTGCCTTGAGTAAATTGAAATTGCCGTGAACAAATTATGGAAATTGCTGTGAGTATATTGAAATCGCTGTGACACTTTTGGGCCACCGTAGATCTCACACATCAAGGACAATTTCTCATGCCTGACCTCACAAATCTGGATAAATTGTTCTGTCACACATGATAAATAATGAAAATTCAATCCAAAAAAAGGTGTTAAATGATGACTTTGTATCCTTTTTTGTGTTCTAACAAAATCAAAGCACGCTAAGATTTTTGTCTTGTAAAGTAGTTTTGGAAGTGCTCAAACATCTTCTGAACATCTGCGGACATTTTCGGTAATGTTTTGAAGTCTTCAGAAAGTCTTCGGAAGTCACCGGGATGTTTCCGCAAATTCCGGTCATGACAGGGTAAAAATCTCATGCATGTCATGTCAAGTTGACAGGTATACGTAGTCTGTACGTATACCAGGCGGAGCCCACCAGTTTGGATATCCGACAGTATTCAATCATTGGCAAACTTTAAGTTTTGAATATGTCTGAACATTGCTAAAATTGTTCCGAAGGCTTCCGAACAATAGATTTTTGGTTGCTGTGGACATCTTGAACGTTGTCAAAGATGGACATCATGTTAAATATAACTACCATTAATAAACAGCAAATAATGGTGTACCCATTAGTGTGCGAATAAGCAAACAACCCTGTTGTTTTAGTCAGGTATTCATGAACATTGTTTTCAACCCCAAAGGGTGACGAAAGTGTCAGATACGTCAGTAGGAGTAGTTGGCTACTAATTCCCCCTTCAATTCAAGACGTTTTTAAAGAGATATATTGAATTTATCATTATCGAAAGTTAAGTAATACTTACAAGTTAGTTTCTAAACTGACTACATAAAAACAAAATTAATGCAATGAAACCATCAACCTAACAAAAATATAAATTATACACGACTGTAAACTTTGCTTTTTCACAATTATATTTTTGTACACGGCTTTACCATGTTTATTTTCCATTTTTAATCATTTAGATCCGCTCATCTTGTTGTATCTGACAATCAGAAAAGATGGCTTGTGGTGGGAATAGCACTCAACAAGATACTTGTGCCACAGATCCGTCCTTTTGTGGAACAAGAGGTTGATAATGAATACAACAATCTCAAGACGAGCCACAATATTCATACACAAAATACATCTGGTCGTCTTCAAAGGTGGCCTGCAAGAAAGTTTTTAAAGTATGAGACCATCAATGGTAACAGTCGTCACCCAAAGCTTCTGGGTGGGAAATACAACTTTTCCTTGTTTGATTGTAGGGTGTTATCTCACATTGACTTTGCCAAGTTGTATGTTGAAAACTTCATGGCTAAGTTCAGTGCTTTTGATGACCAATGTGATGCTTCAGCTGTACTCACATTACTTGGTGGTGTACCTGTGTTCTCAACAGCTGTTCAAGCTGCTGCTGGTGATGTCAAGAATGTTAGGAATGACTGGGCACACTGTGACTTCAGTAAGTGGGATCCTGTTAAGTTTCAGCAGAGCTTTGTTGTGATGGAACACCTGGTGAGAGTTATGGCTCTACCTGCAGTAGATGAAGCAAAACTCCTCGGAGAGCTGAAAGACTGGGAAACTAAAGGTAATTGCACTTTGATATAGAGGTAAAATATAGTAATTAGTTATTGCAAACTGAATCACATGCAATTCTTTTAAGAATTAAGAACTTAAAAGTTTTGATTGGCCAAACCATCATGGTAAATCAGCTATTATAACTATATTGCTCTCCAAACACGAGTTTCTGCATTATAATATATAGCCCACATGGGAATTAATTTTAGATCAAGTTTTATAAGAACAAATAATCCAAGGCTTCATGTATACAAAAAAATACCTTAACATTCCGCAGTTGTTTTGCATTTTTATATATTTTTTAAAGCATGATGGTTTAAAACAACATTTGTTGTTTTGTGGCACCAATTAAACCATTCTGACCCAGACAAAAGTCGCCATAAAATGATAATTCACCTGTAATAAGGTTGTCAAACATGGCAGCTTCTAAGTTTTTAAACTCTTCTGCTTTTGCTGTTGCATAAGGGATCCATAAAAATAATTCATTTTTTTCTCACAGTTGTCAGCTGGGCAAGTAAGCGTTATGGCATACTTGCCTGGTTACGATTTGGGTTGCCCGGACAAAAGTGCAGAATTATATAAAGGAATGGTGAAAAAATTGTGTGCAACTTGAACATTTCTGATCAGCATGTTATTATTTCCATCATAGTTACTAAGAGAGGGTTTAAAGTAAACTGTTAAGTACAAGAGGCTACAGGCCTAGGCCTAACACAGTTTATTTGCATTTTACAAGTGGCCACAGTCGATCAGATTCCTGTTGCATGAACGCGCTGATGACTAACCTGATGAGCAATTATGCTGTGTAGACTTTAAGCCTTCTCTACTTTGTTTGTAGGGACTCTGTTGTGCTTGAACTCCCCTGTCGACCCAGTGTTGCTTCAACTTGTCCAGCAAGGAATTAAATTTCTGCAAGATAGTATAAATAACTTGTCTGTAGAATTTGACCAAGATAAGATAAAAATGCAGCAAGAGCTGCAAAATGCTGCAGCAGAGATGAAACAGATGGCAGAAAGATTAAATCATTTTCAAGGTAATAATCATTGCTTATTAACCCAGGCTCCCAAACTATTACGGCCTCGACGGATAACACCCTCCTCTCCATAATTCTTCATAAGAAACTCAGCCTCATTCATTAATTGCTAATTATTATACTCTTGTCCTTATTCAAAATAATTTTCTTTTATGGTTTCTAGCTTTTTAAGTAGCTATTGGATCACAGAAACATTGTATGCAAAGTGCTTCTGTTTTGTACATGTAGATCAGAGGTTTGGACAAGGCCAGATGCAAAGTCTGTTAGCCCCTTCATACGTCCTTCATGTTAATTATTAAATCTCCTTCACAATAAAAATGGATCTGATTATCAGAGGATATCTTTCCCTTGCTATTTAAAACTTTTTTATTATGTTAGTGTACGCCTTCACTCTTGGGGTTGTACATTTTGTTTTGTTTGCATATTATCTGTAGAGGATGTAGCTGACAATGGCAATTTTAAGATAAGATTCTGTGTCTCCCTGCTTGTCCCGTATTAATCAAATCTTCTGCATATTTACTTGTTAAACAAAGAAATTTTTCACCAAATCATTCACATTGTGTTTATGACTTGCTTGTGCTTTTGTATCGTAGAGGATGCAGATCAGAGGTTTGGAAGTCTAGAGATTCGTACTGGACAAGTTGAAGAACAAGTATGCAGTCTGAAAGGTAAATACGAGATAAAGATACTATAAGCCCTGTCGCTCGATCCTCACTTGTTAATTATACGTCTTGCTAATTTACGTACATGACGCAGATAATAGTATCGTAAATTTTCTAATTAGAACCCAACCTTTCTAAGTTGAGACATGAAGAGAAGGGAGCGGGTATTAATTGAAGGTTCGCTTCTCTCCTCTCTGTGCTCGTTGATTCAAGGGATCGTTCACTGTATTCCTTGTATTTGTTTATTGAAGAGGTTGCAGATCAGAGGTTTGAACAAGTTGAAGACCAAATGTACAGTCTCAAAGGTAATGTAGAGATACGATCTTGAACCTCCTTCCTTCTGAAAGATCGTTAAGTTCTGTCTAGAGGTCTAGCATGCTCCTCTGATTTAATGAGTTTTTGCCACCAAATTGCCAGCTCGCTTACCAAGACGATACATGCGTGATACTTATGTTGAGAGAGTGAAAGGGCCGGCCATATATCTATTTTTATTGAGGGCGGGTGTTGGCAAAGGAAAAGCCTATAGCTGATTGCTTTAATCAATATCTTATGTTACTCAGTGAACATTACTAACCCAACCATGAAGTGATATCAATAATTTTATTTTTTTCCATTCAGCACTAGACAGTGAGGTAGTCATCTGAACTTAAACAATTGCATCTGTCTTTTTGCTTTTTCGGGTTGACACTATGATCTTTTACATTGTTGTGCATGGGGAAGCAGTGAGATGTAGAGCTATAATAAAATTTATTTTTTTCCCCTTTTTTTCACATCTCACGAACAGAAAAGATTCATGACTTGTCAGGAAGAGAATCTGCTCTTGAAGACCCACCGATGCCATTTGGTAGGTTTGTTGCAATGATAACTCATTTTGAGAATAATTTTATTTATGGAAAGTCCCACTTATATCTTGGACATATCAGAAAAGTCCGGTTACACTTAAGAAAAAGTTATATTATTATATCTAACATCATGTTTAAGTACATATCTTATTGCTTCTCTGGGTGGTTTTCTGTGATTTTACTAAGTGGTTATTAAAAACGTGCCTGCAAGTTTCAAGAGGACGTTTGAATGGTTTGCGTTAACCGGCTAGAAAAGTTAATAAAGGCAATACGGACGAGGGTGGGGGTAGTTTACCTTTCGTCTCTTTTCGTAGGCTTTTTTTCTAATTTTTGATGGCATGTTTGTGTCTTATTTCTCTTTCACGCCTTAGTCATTCCAGAGAAACTTGTAGAACTTATCAGACGAGACTACAAAGGCGCTGTGCTGTGTCCCTTTCCATGGTGTGAAGATGAACTGCAACTGAAGCTATCGAACATCTTCACAAGACTACAGATAGTAAGTAGAACAAAAGAACGTTCACAACTAACGGATGACACCGTCAATATGACAGAAATATTCAAGTCGCATCCAGAAAGCCCCAGTCCGAGAGTGGTGCTGATCGAGGGGAATCCTGGGATGGGCAAAACCACGTATTGTCAAAAGCTGGCTCATGATTGGTCCGTGGGGAAGATTCCACCTGATACGTCATTTCCTAAAGTGGAAATTTTGCTTTTGTTGAAATGCCGTGACATGCACATGAAAACCGCGAACATCGAGGAAGCTATTGATGATCAGCTTCTTCCAAAAGATGCAGGCAAGAAGGAAAAAGAAGACTTCTTCCATTTTATTCGTTCAAATCAGTCTAAAATATTACTGATTCTCGATGGTCTGGATGAATTACGTCAGGAGCTACTTCCGTGCATTCAGCCCTTGATTCAAGGCAAAATCTTTTCTAATACGTTCCTCGTTTTAGCAGCTCGACATGAAGCCGGAATAAGACTACGGCGATACTGTGACACGCTCCTGGAAATCATCGGATATACTAATGATGATGTGGACTGTTACATCAAGAAGTATTTCAGTAAGCACGAGGATCAAAGCCTTGCGGAAAAAATGATTCAGCAGCTGAAAATTAACACAGAGCTGAGAGAGTTAACGGCTAATCCACTAAATACAGCTTTGTTGTGTCTTCTGTGTGAAGAGACAAAGGGAAATTTCCCTTCCAGTAGAACGAAAATTTACGATGATATTGTCTCATGCGCTCTGAGAAGGTATTTTACCAGGAAGGGCGTGCCTTTGAGTGACGACGATCCCCTTGAGAGATGTTCAGACGAGCTGAGTCAGTTAGGAGAAACAGCATTTGAAGCCCTGTTGAAGAATCAGTTGTATTTCAGTAGAGATGACCAAACAAGCGAGTCCACTGATTTCCTACAATTACCGTTTCTTTCCCGTGCGCCTAGTTTGAGCAAAATCAGGCCAAAGCCATGCTATGCTTTTACTCACAAAACTTTCCAGGAATATTTTGCTGCATTCTACCTGGCCCAGCAAATCATAACTGGAAACAAAGAAAAGGCCCAGTCTCTGCTAGCTAAGCTCAGTCCTGTTGACAACTGGCAGGTGTGGGAATTTCTCATTCCAATGGTGTCAAGCAAGAGCCGTGAAATGGCAGGTTTTGTAGTATCACGTCTTTGTTCTTTTTTCTTTCAAGAAAGGCCACATATGACAAACGATGGCGCCCTTGCTGATGCCGACAGGTATCTCGAGGTCTGCGGACGCAAACCTAGTGACTGGACTATAAGTGTGGACAAACGGAGTGATAACGAGAAAGTGTTAGACGATGTGGTTACTAAAACACTTCATGTTATTAAAGAGTGTGAAGACAATGAGAGTGAACTAAAGGATTACCAAAGAAAAATGGTGCGTGTACTAGCGAAATGTTTTCCAGTGAGAAAGTTGAGCCTTGGCCAACTTGACCGCTATTATATCGTTTATTCCGAATACTTGAAAACCAACAGCACATTGACAGATTTACGTTTAAATAGTACTTTAAACGAGGTGCTGTTAGCAACAGTTGAGGGGGTTCGTGAAAAAGACTTAAAGCATTTGAATTTGCTTAGCGTGAACACTGACCTTTTCTTTTGGAAGCTTTGTAGCTACCCTCACTTGAAAGAAGACTCGGAATATTCTTTTTCCTCTTCTGAAAAAAACAGATTCATTGCAAGTTTTACACAGCACCAGTCATGGATCAAGAATTTTGGTGCCAAAGAACTTGGGAAGTGTCTTCGGTCGTTTCGTCATTTGACACATTTGAAATTTAGCGGAGACTTTATCTGCTCTGAGGGAGCCGCAGCACTCGCAGAAGTTATTCGTGCGAGTCATAGTTTGACACATCTGAGTCTTCGTAACGCTGGCGTCCGTGATTTAGACGCCATTGTCATAGGTAACGCTCTACAGTCAAATTGTACTTTAACCCATCTAACTCTGGCGGGAAACCAGATCCATGATCTAGGAGCAATTGTTTTAGCAAATAGTTTAAATAGCAATCGTTCTCTACAGTATGTGGATCTAAGTGATAATGATGTTGGTGATTCAGGAGCTCAGGAGCTTGCTCGTGTGTTGAGATCTAACTCTTCTCTTACCTTCCTCGATTTAAGTATTCCATTAAGAAGTGAAGAAAACGTAAAACCCGTCCTTATATTGGATTCTGATTCTGAAATCCATCAACACTTTGTGCGCTGTGATTTGATTGGGGCATCTGGCGCTTCATCACTTGCGCGAGCCTTGCGATCGAATCGATCGTTGACTTATTTAGACCTTTCATTCAATGAGATCGGGAAGGCGGGAGCTGCAGCGTTTGGAGAGGCTCTCCAATCAAACTGCACTTTGAGTCATTTGTTCCTATGCAGCAATGCGATAGGTGATTCGGGAACAGCATCCCTTGGAGAAGGTCTGAAATCAAACTGCTCTCTAAGTCGACTATATCTGACTGAAAATGGAATCGGAGATCCTGGAGCAGAAGCTCTCGGAAAGGCAATGCAATCAAATCGCAGCTTGACCCATTTAAATCTACAAGTTAACCTTATTGGCGATTTAGGGGCAGCGGCCTTGGCAAGGGTACTGAAATCTACTGGTATTCAGTTGACTCATTTAGATTTGGCTCTCAATAAGATCAGCTGTGTGGGTGCAGAGGCTCTCGCGAAAGCTCTTGAGTCCAACAGCTCTCTTAAGGCTTTAGAGTTGGGAAGCAATGTGATCGGTTCTTCGGGAGCATCTTCGTTTGGAAAAGCACTTCGATCAAATCGTACTCTTACGCACTTGATTGTGACCGGTAACAATATCACCGAATCTGGAGTCACAGAATTGGTAGATGCTCTCCTGATTAATAACAGTTTGATCTATTTGAATGCGGAAGACAATTCGATTAGTTCGCTAGAGGCGAAGAACCTTAAACGGGATATCCAGTCGCATTGTGTTATTTTTATATAGAGACTAAGTGGGTAAATGACTAGATGATGATCTATCTCCAGCATTGTATTTTGAAGCTCAAGCAAATTACCCGCGATGAGTCGTTGATCGGATGATGATGGTTACGTAGAATAAGAAAGATTTCAATGCTGAAGATTTCTTCCACTTCTTGTCCGCGCACTTTACTTGTTCTTGTATTTGCGCCACAGTTATCGACGACGAACTTCCCTCGTTTATTTAATTAGTCTTGTTGCCAGTTTGTAGATGCAACTAGATGCTCTTTGGAAAAAGGTTCAGCTTTGTTTTGTTCTCTTCTTCTTTTTACAAACAAATACAATCTAATAAAATATTCCTTGAGTTGGGAGCAAGGCGAAGATGTCAATGATAAATGTGAGCCACAATTAAAGAAGCGTGGTACTTTGGCTAAGTTTGTCTAGTTTAACATGGTCGTGACATTTTTACGACCAAGTTTTGTTGCTTATTTTCCCTCGTGTCTCCTGTTACGCTAATATGCGTAACTTAAGGGATTTGGTGAGAAATCTCGAAAGCCGCCGGGGGATTTGTCACCCTTTGGTGCAAAATGAATTGTCATCATTTAGCTATGTTAGCGACAGTTTCAGTGCTAAGTCATCCAATATATAACTTTATAAAAAGAAAAAAGGACTTCACATACGTATGCAGATTTAAAGGAGCTGTGCCACAAAATTTATTAAACTTCAAATAGTGGTAACTACCACCAAATTTATTAGTGAGACATGAAAATAATCGCTCAAAACATGAAAAGAATGTATAAATAACCGCAAATACAAAAGGGCAAAACTTGGAAGAAGATGAAACGGATTGTAATTGTCGTTTTTGAAAACTTGTTAGGCCACCAGTTTTTCATCTGTAACGTTTGATATAATGCTAAGCGGACATAATTTCGCTTTAAGTTAAGTTTCTTTTTAATTAAGGTCGAGTGTTGAAGCCACAAATGTAATAATTGGCCACAAATGTAGTAAAGCCCTCAAATGTATTAAAAATTGACCACAAATTAATAATGTAAAGTAATAAAACCGTTAAATCGTCAAACAAATACTATCCAAACCGTATATACTCGAACGAGCGCCGCCCTCAATTACGAGCACTACGGCGCTCTTTCGAAACAATATTCTATTGCATCGATTACATTTAATCGAAAGAGCACCGCTCTCAAATCATCTTGGCATCTTAAAGTACGGAAATCAATAAGCGCCGCGGCGTTCGAGAAATACAATATTCTTCAAATGTTTCCCTTTTTTTCGCTACTATTTTTTTACAATTTGCATTGGTGAGCGCGATTTTTCAGTAACTTAAGTTTAATATGCATCCTTGCAGACCTTGTAATTCGACTTAGATAATAATGAGATTTTGATCATTTATTGGGAGGATCACGTACCCTACGATAAATAAAATGTAAAGTCGTTTTTGGAGCCACTTATTTAGTTTCATCACATAGTTTAATACCATGCTCAATAGAAGAAATGAAAGTTTAAAACAAAACAAGGTTTAATTACATTAACCCATTCGCCCCTGGAGATGTTGCCGAAAAGCGCGTTTTGAAGCTAGTCGAGTGGTTTTCTGGTCACTGTCGTGCTATAAAGAGCTAAAACTAACCACAAAGCCGTTTGCAGGTCGTACACTTCGCGGCCTTCTGGTCCAGATGCAAAATATCAGCTCGCGAAGTTCGGGCATGCGCAGAAAGCAAAATTTCGAGATCCTGACTTCTCTCCACCCCTCTTTTTTCGCTTTCCTTGCCTCACTTTTTTTCTTTTGCTGGGCATTTAGTAGGCTTCATTTTGATGGGAAAAGTTTTTAGGAAAGCTCTTAGGATCTTAGGATTAGATGAAAGGAAAGGTAGGTGGGTAGTGGAACTAGATTTTCAGGGCAATTTTCGGGTCGATGTTACATGGTTTTTTGTCTTTTTCCCTGGTGTCCTTGACTGCATTGTGTTCATTCTGGTATGGTTTGAAAGACGTCTTCACTCTACAAACATTAGCGGACAAAGTTGTCCTTGACCATTAAAACTGATGACTTCACAAGCGGTAGAAGGGACGTGGATCTGCAAGGGCGGTTACGGGCGGCTCAGGGGCGAATGGTTTAATATACTTCAGGCTTACATCAGCAATGATAATTAAAAGGTTTGATAAACAAAATTAATAAGCGCTGCTGTATTGCTGGGCAATGCGGCACTCGCTCGAGTGGGTTGAATGCAGGAGAAAAATATTTTTATTGGACAGAGCACCGAGGTGTTTATTTTTTCTTCTTCTCATGTGCGACTCTTACTTGAGGTCGGCACCCTTTCGATTAAATGCAGTAAAACATTGTATTTTAGAAAGAGCGCGGTGAAGCTTATTTCTTTCGACTTAAAACATGCCAAGTTTATTCGGGGTAATGTTTTTTCGATTAGATGCAATAGGTTATTGTGTTTTTCAAAAGAGCGCCGCAGCGCTTATTTTTGTCCTAAGGGAGGTGTTCTTTCGAGCATATACGATTTGGATAGCATTTATAATGGTAATTGAACTGATCGAGTGGAGTGCAATTTGGTCTGAAATCATACACGTGATTTCAGTTCGATTTGAAATCACAAGCCAGTGCTTTCAGACCAAAATTGCACCCCACTCAGTTCAATTACCACTTTATTACAGCCATTTTGAAATTGCAGAATTCAGTCAGTGATCTAGTATCCAGTTTGTTCAAAAGTGGAAACAAAAAGGCTTTTACATCCAATTTTGTATTCAAAACAGAAATAATGCGATATAGAGAAGAAATGATGCGATTTAGAGCAAAAAAAATGTGTGATTCGTGAATAAATCACACTGCTAAGAGCCAATCAGATTGCAGGGATAAGCCGGCTTATCATATCTGTGGTCGATTTGTATTACATTTGTGGTCAATTTGTATCACATTTGTGGGCTTTATTACATTTGAGGTCAATTATTAAATTTTTCGGCTTCAACGAGTGATTCATAATATTGACAAAATGATCTTAACAGGCGTGGCATAGCCCCTTTAATACTGCACTAACAAATCAATAATAAGGGAGGGCACCTTGAACCGTGCGTATAGATGGTCTAACCTGGACTTGCAAAGTCAAAGAGAACATTGACGGATAGAGGGGAGGGGCCCGGGCCCCCGCCATATATTTAGGCCAAACTGAAGCCTGCAGGGCCGAGAAATATTATTTTCGAGGCAGAATCCCTCCTCGTATCAGGGATTGACGAGCATGCCCCCACTTGAATGAAGATCTGAATCCGTACCCACATCTCTCGTTGTCGGCTTCGTCAACAAGAGATCTGGGTACGAGACTATCCGCTAATGCCACGCGCTGACCTGGTAGATCTTACAAACGATAATTGTAGTCGGTTCTTGTATGATTTGTTGCTATTAAGACTTTTAAAAAATTTGAAACATTTTCTAGTTTATTTAGTAGAGATTTAGCTCCTTGATTTTACAAATTAGTACAGTTTTTTTTTTAAATAATTGTTATAATTTTTAAATTTTAGTGAATTTCCCCCCCCCCCCCCCCCACCCCCCCCTTTTTTTTGGCAAACCATGCGGGGGGGGGGGTTTTTTTTATTTGTTAAATTTTTTTTTTGTTTATTTTTTCAAACACCCTTGTTTAAAAGTGTGTTTTTATTTCTTAACAACCCACCACACATCAATTTTCCCCCCCCCCCCCTTCAACTCCCCATTTTCTAGGGCAAAAGCCTTAGGAGGAGGTTGTTTTATTACATGCGACATGTTTTACGTGTGACTACTATCAACGACTCACTTTAAAAAGCTGGTTTACTAACTTAGAACAAACGCCACTGAATCGTAGTCAACAGTTACCAGCGCCGTAACAAACGACTCATTGACGAGATCAAGCAAAACCAACTACGAGAGAACGACCAGAGAACTGACAAATTGACTAACAATAGACGACTGTTTGACTGTGACAAAAGACGGATCGAAACGCACCAATTATGAGTCTTCATAGCCAATAACTTTACGGCTTAACTAACAGACGACCACTAACATCGCGACGTAATTGACCAATCAGGTCAATGACCAGAGTATAATACATGTACCATCAACTGACGTGATACAATTCACTTTGACTCTAAAGATGAGTACCGCACAGGTTGTCGAAACGTCAGTCACTGTCAACAACAACAGTCCTATTCAAGACTACGTTCACCCGGACGATCAAACTCAACCTACTTTCGAACATTCTATATAAACAAAAGCCAGTCCTATTATGGCTCTTGATATAAACAATGATTTTTAGTATCATTTCACCATTTCCATCATTATTCTTTTAGCATTGGTGTCTTGTTAACTATCTTCTGTCTCCTTAGTGTCCGCCTGATAGGCTGGTATCAGCTGAATACATCAACAGTTGTAAATAAATTAAACGTGCCATGTTATGTTGTATAAATGAGTTTAACTACTAGATATTTTTAACTGCAGCGGATCGCACTTGTACTGATAGGTCAATGAGAGTATATTTAGCCTCATGAGAGTAAATTAAGCTGAGTTGATTTATTTCATGTACATTTGTCAGTATATTTAGCCTGCGTAGCGAGTGGTAGCTGTCGGTTTCTTATGGTTCGTAAAGTAAGAGATTCAGACGCGAGAAAGCTGAATTGGCCGAGGACGAATAAAAAGACCCCCTCCCCCATCGTTTTCTGTTTCCACCTCGGTTCCTCGGTTCAGCTTTCCGCGGCTGGAACTCTTACTTTGCGAACCACAAAATAAAAAGTACACCAAAAAACCGACAGCTACCCAGCCAGGCTAGAATATATTAGCCTGCTCCAGGCGTTCAGATAGATATACTAGCGGACTGCCAAAACGTCCAGACGGGTTCAACGTCTGGCTGCAAAAGTGTACATGTACTAGACGGATTGTCACATTTTAGTGTAAACGTCTGAGAGATCTAAGATGTTTCTCATCATATGTACAGTCAAACTCCGCTTTACTGGCCTGTGTATAGACCCCCCCCCTCCCTTCAGTAAAAA